TCTATCTATACATATATATAAAAATCAATTGCTGTTCGTTAGTCTCCCTAAAACTCGCGAACGGTTGAACGGATTTATCTTGAAATGTTCATGGAGGTCTAGGGAAGGTTTAAAAGGTGAGACAAATTCCAATTGACGGGAACTAATTATGTTTTTTTTTTAATTACGCGCGGACGTAGTCGCGGGCGACGGCTAGTGTTTAATTAAGTTTAAGTAAGTAATTCTTATTAAGATACATTGAAGGAGAATTACGTATATATTAATTTTCTTCTTACAGTCTTTATGTCACACTACTGACTACCGTATCATAAAGTTTCTATGTAAAAAAAATATAAAAGTCATAAAAAATTGAACGCGTCCAAACACAACGTCGAGTTAAGCTAAATTGAGGCTCGTAAGTCGATTGCATCGTAAATATCTCATACAGTGTACAACAAGTGAGCCTAAAGTACACAATAAAATTCAATCATGTTCGCAGGCGGTTGCTCCCCGGCGCAGAGTAATGTTTTATGGTGACATTGCTCCCACGCTGGAGACGAATCGAACTGTGATTGCGGTGATACTACCGGTACTGGTCTAGTTTTTGATTTATAAATGAAATGTCTGATAAATTCTAGACTGACTCGAAACATATTTGATAAAGAACGGTATCAACATCAATTATTTAGCAAAATTTTCAATTTTATTGATAGATTGTTGAAAAATTAAATGGATAGGTGCTTTAAGATAGAATTCATAATTTTAATAACATTATTAATAAAAAATATACATGTACAGCTCCATCAGGATAAGAAAAATCTATTCCTGTGATTGTGAAACTCAAATTTCTATACATCTTAAGAATAATTTGTAGTTAAAATACTATAAAATAGCTAACATGGTAGCAGACAATATCCTCAATATTTTCAGTTTTATTGTAACTTTAATAAAATAGTAATTATCTGCGGTTCCTCTGGTATTGCTGATGTCCATGGGCGTCGTTGAACACTTCGGTGTTCCCGCTGCTCGTTTGCCCCCTTCTGTTATAAAAAAAAAAAATTATAAAACAGATGTTATTTACACCTGCAAAAATCAGAAAGTTCAGTTATTTTGTTTTGTTATGTCCGTACTTGACGGCTCTATACGCTGGATAATTATTAATTCACAAGCTTGAGACCTATCTCCGGGGGCTCGAGGAAACCGGAATTTATAAAGGCACCTTCACACTATTATTTTTATAGCATTTAAAATGTAATTATTTATAAATTACTAACAACGTAACATTAATATTTTTTATGGAATTACCAATTTCTTTCAATGATTTAATGAATTTGCTTATTAGAATTTAAATCCAATATAAGCAATGTTGTTAACAAGATTTTCTATAGGAATAAGCTTAAACTCAATACAAATTAGAGAAAGAGAGAGAAAGAGAAAGTTTAGACAAATTTTTACTTAATAAAAATCAATAAATAACACGTACACGATATTTAAAGATAAAGATCTTATATTCAAACTTTTTAAACTATCTAAATTGCATGTATATTGAAAAATGTGCACATTTATGTAAATAATGTTAGTTGGTGCGGCGACAGGCGATCGTCTGTGAAGCTCTTAAGTTTATAATCGAAGGCATCGATCAAACAGCCCCTAATGAATTGTCCGTTTGTTTAAGGGTTAAGTCTGGAGATCTCCATAATCACACGCGTGATAGAGTTACACAATGGGTGGTTTTAATGTCCATTTTTTATTATACTAGTTCCTTGTGGTCGGAATTAAGTGAAGGGTTGATGTCTTTTTTGTTGACGCTATGATACTTTATCTTTGAGGGACATTTTTTTGTATCATAATGTAGCAAACGATCCTGAAATCGCTGAAATAGCGAAGTGATCATTGCAAATGCGTTGCCTACCTTTAAACGACGGAGGGGAGGATGCAAAGAAAGAAATTTTTCCCTTCCCATCCTTCACTTGAAAAAGGGTGGGAAAGAGGGAAAGAGCACTAAATTAGGTCTCCCGAACGCACACCCATCAAAAGAAACGTGGAATTGCTTCCACTTCACGCCTGTCTTCTGTGTGGTCGTGGTATTTCACAAGGCAAACCGGGCCAATTCGTGCGCAGATGTTAAAGCGGGCTCTACCACTGTTAAACATACATTAATATTTATTCATAAGTTATATGTATATGGGAATAATAAAAGATTAATTAAATTAAAATCATGGCTTGGTCTACTGCGTTACAACCGCGATTATTTTACCTCAATTGTGTGCAACTTAATTCAAAGCAAGGTGTGTTGTATTTAATTTCCAAAGAAATGTAATTGTAATCAGGATGTTACCTTTTATTTCATATCTTTTTAATCAATTTCTGGAACATATCAATATATTAAAATAGTGGTATTGTCAATTATTCTTCATTTATTTTACACAAACGTGACATCCCTTCAAAGACAACGCTACCGAGCAAACTTTGTTATGATGAATGAACAAAATAGATCGTTATCGAGAGCCATGTCCGTTACCGTCTCATCTACTTTATTGTTAATGTACCATTGTCGTATTATATTTATAATAGATTCATATCTCCCATGTGAAAGATGTTCTCTGTCATGTTTCAATGAAGCGTTACCATACCGTGGAATCAAAAATATACCCTTTCTAATATTGTTTAAAATATCAATTTGCTGAACTGAGTGATTTATTATTACGTATTAGTTAGTTGACAAATATGCTTTGAAGAGTGCCGTGTAATTCGTTTTGGTCAAGTTAGTGTTGTTAGGCATTCCATAGTGACATTTAGAGCGAACAAATCAATGGTCACGAATGATATTAGTAAAATAACAATGACTAACTCACATATAACGGTATTACAAATAGAACCTTACATCTCAGAAAGTATTATTAGAATCACTTGTATAAGCTTTGTTATCCTTTCTAGGATAAATCAACTCAGAAACCATGTTTTTTTTTTTTAGAAAAATGTAAGCAGAATTTTCTTCGATTATTCCTTATACCATTCCAAATAAGTTCTGTGCTTGTGCTAGGATATGGTTTACGACAATAGTCGAATGGTGGGGTTGGAACTCTCGACCACGTGATCGGAAATCCGTACCTTAATATTAGCGCTTCAAAATATAATTTACTTGAAAATATATATCGCTAGCTTTTAAAATGTGGGCATGATTATTTATTTTTATTTTCCGTGTGAACGTGTCGCCCTAAATAGAAATATGTGGCAATTCGTTAACGGGTGCGCATTTCGGTAACTCGCGTCGCTTCAATTTGCAGTAATTGTTTTCGATTGCGTCCATCAAACACTCGCGGCTGATAATGGAATTGTTATTTAAGTACTTTGCACAAAAGTGATTGCGTTAAATTGGAATAGATACCTTTTAACGATCGAAATGTGTTAAAATCGTCACAAATAAAACATTAACATGTCGTTTTTGATGACTGAGTTTCCTGTTCATTTTATATACTTCCTGTTTATTTTATAAACTTTACTATTATAGCTGTCGACCGCTACTCCGTCCGCGGAATTAAAAAAATTGTAAATGATGAGCCTATGTGTTCTTCCACACTATGTTCCACATCTGTAACAAATTTCACCAAGATCTGTTGAGCCGTTCCGGAGATAACTTCATACAAATATTCATCCATTCATCCTTCTAAACATTCGCATTTTGTATGATTATTTGTTACGGTTTTGTCTTTTTTAATTGTTACTGTCACCATAGATGTCATTCCTCTTCATACTTTTGTCACTGAGGTACTCATAAGTTGTCCAAAAGTGATCGCATTCACAGCCCACGCGCACATTTGTAGGGTAAAGAAGTGATTATCGTCCATTATTGCGACACACCGCTTCGGTATTTAAATTTTTATCGTAAACAAAAATCGTAAGAGCCCGTCAAATATCATTATCATTAAATGATGGATGGCTAATTCTTGTCTCTATCAGATTGTGGCCCGTATAAAGATGCGTGGGACAACGCGTACAATGCATCATTTAAAGCCGAGTGGCTGTATCCAAAGCGAATCAATCCTTGAAATAAACACTCTAACGGTGGGGGTGCTATTAAACAAAATGATTAAACGGTCACAATATTCAATTCTAAGCTATTATTTTATTACATAGTTTGTCAGTTTACTAAGCGGTCGATACTAGTTTTATATTTATCAAGGATAACAGAACCACCCAGTTACTTTGTTCTGACTTTTGTTTTATATCTAATTTGTTGAAAAATTAGTCGGCAAAATCTATCGCCATTTACTAAAGTGTAAAGTTAATTTAGTACTACATTTATATTTAATCTAGTTTTAAAATTATGCTCGTAAAAGTTAACGCTTTTCATATATTCTACTTCACAAGAAATTAAAATAAAGTTTTTAAATATATGCAACATGGACACACTAAACATGTAACGTTTGAGTATTATAAAATAAATTAATTTAATGAAAAGCTCATTTATACATACAAATACCTTAATAAATTCGCAAATACATATCATAAATATAGCTACTTATAACATAAGTCAATCTGACATGTAAATTTGAACGCACTTGTATCGATACTCATACTGACAGAGGGTAATATTATTTAATATGACGTCCATAATTCCGGCGAAGCTAATACACGGACAGAACCCGAAGCGAACAAACAAATTTACCGAAATCGTAGGCCGGTCAGCGGGAAAAATTATATGGAGGATACGTGCCCGCGGCCTGCGCCCGCGCCGCGCCTCGCTCCGACACGGTTACATCACTAGGGGCACCATGAATTATAAAAATTTTGAATATGTCTTTTTCTTTCTATTAATATTTGTAGAGTTGTAATTTTATTATATATACTTGTCAAACTCAAAGTCATTAGTGTGTGGACGCATAGCCCCTTAGTGATTTACTATTGTTTCAATAAGTATTAAATAACTGTGGCAGTTGGTAACGAGTGTCAGTTAGTCAATATTTTATTGTAAAATTGCAAAGAGTCAATCCAAATCTAACCAAAAACTTCCTTTACAGGTCAAGGATTCTAATATTTACTCGCGGCGCAGACAAGCTGCCTCCTGAGGCGCATCGATTGGCCAAGACGGAGAAGTTGACGCGCGTCATGGGGCCTACCGTACACAACCGCCTGCCGGACCACGTCACAAAGGCAACCAACCTCGCATCATTTAAAAATAGATTAAAATGTTTTTTTTTACTTAAATTTTTTTTCGATACATCGTTCTCATATGACCTGTAACTTTAATCAAATAAAGCAAAGATTGTGGGAAATGCAAAATAATGTAAATTTACCAGTCCCTTAATATCATGTTACTTGTAAGCTTCCATAAAACATGTTCATTTATCAACGATTGCCAAATGTTGGTTTATGTAATTTTTGTGTGTCTTCGTAAAGATTTTATTATGATTGTGTTAAAAAAATTAAACTAAAAATTAAACTTCTATCCTTTGAAAGATACTGATATGGCTACCCTATTCAAGAAATTTATGCCCTCATAAAATATGAACACGCTCTTTATGCCCACAATATAAAACAACCTGGTGTTTGTATCCTTCGATCAAGGCGAATTGAAAAATAAAATGTTTATCTTTTCGATTTCGGTTTAATTATTTTATCAGAACCCTGTTTGTGAGTGGAGACTTTATCGCTTTTAAATGCTGCTAAATGTACTTGTTATCTGATAATTGAAATGCTTAGCAAATATTATAAAATGAGGTAGTAAACGTATTAAAATAAAATACATAAATATATTGTAAATAAACATATAAAGATAATTCCGACTTTAATAACCACAGTGGTAAAAGATCTAAAACATGGATATGAAAAAAATATCAGTTATGTAATAATAAAAAGACGAGGCAAATATTTTACATATTCAAAAAAATATATAAAATTCTTCTTCAACATATTTTACAAAGTTTATTCGTTGTTTGACAACTTAATAGTAATCCAGAGGTCGATTGCTTTTAATTATACATCAGCTAATGCCCCGCAGCCAAACAAATAGTTTTATTTCAATGTCGGATGCGCGCCACCCACATTTGTCGATGATTTTTTGCAAAAGGTGAATATTTTAACGATAGTTGGATTATAAACTTACTTTTGATCTATTCCTACTGTTGTTGCAAACAAGCAAAAAGTTAGATGATGATTGTTGTTGTGAAAATATCTGTTGGCAATCTGTAAATATATTATTGGTTTCTAGAAGTTACAACAGTTATCAATATTTAGAACAATGTTAAGAAACAACTTATCTCGTAAATGAATTCGATTACAAGCATTACGCCGGCAGCGAGCAATCCAGAACATCTTCCCGAAGTGAGTTGATGCGCGGATTGTACTCGGTGACAGGCCGACAGACGTCAGGTCTCAGCGTAAAATAAAACGCAGCGCCGACAGATTATCCGTCCACTTGCTACTGATGTCCCCTCGAGATAACGCCGTCCGGATGACGAGTTAATTCGATAGTCACCGCCTCGCCTCCTACCTCATACAAATTCGATGTGACATCCCACGAAATCATCTTCTAACCGCTCAATTCAAAATGTTTCAGATTTTAATTTAACGCCGAACAGGTTGTCTTTGATTGACACCCTTACAATTAGACGAAGCCATCGGAGTATCAGAGTTATTAAAATTATGTTAATGCTCGATCTTCGATTCGTTATTACCGTGTCATGGTCGTCATGGAGTCAGTGAAGCCCGCATAAACTGTTCTTTTACCACTATATTAGTTTAAAACCTACATATTTATAGATATAATTAAAACACTGAACTTATAGGGCACAAAAAACCTCATGTTGCCTTTTCTCTGTGAGATGCTGGCACCTTTTTTGTCCATCTCCTTCATGCCAAAATGCTATTATTCCTCGTTTACAGAATTACGTGTTAGGTGTTTACAGATACTTCTATGAAAGTATGTTTGTTAGCTAAAATATATTAAACTATTTATATCCAAAATTAATTGCAACTTCATTAATTGAATCTTTAATATAATTAATCGTAACAATATAGATTCATTTGCAAAATAATAATCCAAATTAAAGGTGTTCATAAGCGAATAAATAAATTTCGTACACGCGCCAGTCATGGACGCCGCATACATTTTAAAATTAAATTGATTGTAAACCGCATAAGAATCGTCATTAAATTGCACCGAGACAATCGTGCCGATTTAAATGGCGGCCGAGCGCTGGCGGGGGGCGCAAAATTATCATGTCCCTCATCACAGCGTGTTCCCTTCGAATTAATGATAAAATACCTCCTTGTTAAAGCAATTTATTGTGAAATTTTCGGAACAACACGTGAAATATCCTCGTGTTTATCTTATCGATTTATTTTTGTTTTCTTCTAAACGATTCTAACTACTCTTATCAGTGAAAAAAGTGACTCAGACTTATTATAACATCCTGGCGTGCTACTACTTTAAAAATCTCTATGCATATTTAAGAGGAAGACTGATCACGAACTAGAATTTAGTTTTTGCTTTTTAGACCAATAAATGCATTATAATAACTAATTTAGTCAGAAATTCTAATGTAAACGCTCTCCTCTGGTTACCAAAGTTGCAGAGCAATAGAACGAAATCATTTGCGATTCCAAGATGCGGAAACTCAAACTTTCCCGGCTTTTGAATAATATTATTTTCCACTATGTAGATTTTATCACAATATTTCTCTTAATTGCAGTCCGTTCATTTCCATTTACTTATGATTTTGATTCAAATTAATACAATTGTAAGGATAAAATAGATCAGAATTATGGGATCACATTACCATTTTTATTCCACGTGTCTGTAGAAGCTATTTGAAAAAAAGCAATTTATTTCATTGTTATTTGAGACAATTAAATGCTACTTGTGGACCTTAATCAGCATATTCTAGAATAGGGTCTTCGTAAAATGTCTCCATAAAATATGCATGCGTAAAAATGTCAGTGTAAAATGCGCGAGTTGACCAGTAACAAGAACAAATGGCACCATATATACATGTACACCCTCTTTAAAATGCCACAGCCTCAATGATCGAATGGAAATCGCAAACCAATTTTTATTCACGATGTTCGTTAAAGAATTGTGCATTTTATCTCTGTTTATTGGATTGGTAAACTTAAATTGGATCTCATATCATGCTTTAGTGACCGCTCAGTTTTAAAATGTATTTTTTTCACCTAGATTTGGTATGAATTAAATTTTAAGTATCGAAACCACTGTTAGATTTTAGTTTTAACAATTATCTATGAGCCTTCTCTATATTTACAGAGCTGTATGTAAAATCGTCGAGTACCGACCCCCTCTGTGAGACAGGAGTAGCAATGATAACGGTAAAGGAATTAACTGTCAGATTGTAAACGGTAGCCGTCGTCTCCGCCGTCCACACTTCTTTCCACTCCGTTTGGTAAGCAACAGCTAGTAGATAGGTCTCCACGCTTTCTATATAAAGGTACCTATCCCATTATCAAATTTAAGAATTTATGTCCTCTTTCAATCAATGAATCTTAGTAGTATTAGTTCGCTTAGTCTTTCTTAGTAATATTTGAAATAAAATGGTCTACAATATACATTATTTCATGATAGCTATGACATTGAATATTTGCTATTTGCTTAAGAACTATTTTATAATAATTCATGACCAAATTCTAAATACTATTGTGGGTGTTGTACCTTATAGTTAGGTTCACGATCAGGATTGTGTAAAAGCATCTTTATGGTTTAAATAAATTTCATGTTCAACGCGTCAGTGTCCTTTCGTTTTGTAGACAATGCGGAAATCGTTTTTATGATGTTAGATTATTTTTAAAATTATTTTCTTGATTTAGAAGTTAGACATGGTAAATTTTTATCACGAATTAGATACTTAATCCTTGTATCAAACTCAAATTAAAATGTAAATAACGTACACTCAAATATTAATTAAACTAAACAAGAGACCTTGTTTAAATTAACAGCGTATACTAATTAAAGTCACAAGCTACGTAGACAAAACGTTTTTAACAGCAGTTTTTCTATTCGGTGATTCTTTTGTTCGAAAGCATTTGGCATTTAATTTACTTTTTTATTAGATGATGTTTGCAAAAAATCTTAACAAAGACAATGACATAACTCAGTATTGAAGGCAGTTAAACTGTAAACATTAAAATCTTAACTTAGTCTTCTTAATTTCTACTAAATTTAATTGTTCTTTGGGACCAGTAACGGGAGACCCTGTCATGTGTCATCCTCCTGCACTCACTTTTCACCTGCCCGCATACAATCCTATTTGTGCAGTAAGCAACAGAGCTACTGCCTTCGTTATTATTACATTGATTTCAACGACGTGAAGTTTTTTGTACAACATACATGTACGCCTTTGTGACGTCATCAGTATCATAAAAACAAAAGGGAATGGGCCCTTGTATTTATTGTTCTATGATCCACATTCTTCCAGATTCATTCGCTAAACTCTCAAGACGGAACTCGATACGGCGCTGACGCCATCAAGCGTGGCCGTTGTTTTTTTTCAATGAGCTATGGAAGCAAGAAGCGTAACCCGGTGGACGTGCCACGACCGCTTCCCGCGGGATGCCATCTCGTACCTCTGAACGCTTCGCCGCTCCTACGTTTTAATTGATCTCAATGCTCGAGACGAATCGACTCGTTGTGCCGGTGACTTTTTATGCGCTTGACTCACCCGCATTCATCGTTTTACATTTAGATGTTCAGACAAATTGTTACGGATAAAATAATAAATGTAATCCATTTTAGATTAATTCAAAGAGCAATCTTACTTTCTATCTAGCGGAAAGAGGGTCTAAATACCACGCAATGTTCACAGTTAAAATAATTCTTCTACAGATTTCAGTGCTAGTCGTTAGTTACAATAAAAATAGAAGGTGGTAACTGTAACTGTTTAAAATTTAAATAAAAGCGCTAAATGGTCTTTAATCGAATAGTATTTAATGCCTGAAAGAGGCACGACGAAGAAAAGCACTTTGAGTGACGTCGTACTGCAAATGCGACAAGCGATTCTTGTTTTTGTGGCATTTATCTTACGGTATTGTTTCGCTAATCGACATTGAAGGTTTACTGTTTTATAACACTCCGATGCGATAAATTGGCGGCAAGATCGTAACTTCCACTACAAAGTGCGCTGTGAAGGATTCATCGAATAATTGTACAGCCAATAGCTTTACGCCTTCAGCCTTTATTTTTGCCGAAGCGCTGCGAAGTAGCCGGTGGTATTTTAATGTGGTGGCGGTACATATAACCGCACTTAATTTTGTCCTAATGTGAACCTGGCTAAGAATCTCAGACTTAAGTCAGCTAAGTTTTTCTCCCGGGAATATGTGAGTACGGATTCGCCGATGAGCCAGATAAGGCGAGTGCTGTTTTAAATATGCAAAGCACAAAGTTTGCGGCGCGGCCTTCCGACAGGCCACTGAATAATTTTACACGCTCTCAAAGCGTGCGTGTCGCCTTAATTTGAACATTTTAACACTAATATAATTCGAGATCGAGTTTAATTATAAGATTGAATACTTATAAGGATATAACTATTTTAATTATCACTGTGTTACAAAGAG